TTCTGATAAAATCACACAAAGCTTTGCCGGAAGCACGCTGTATCATATTCGTGCCATGTTACGTGGCGAGCATGGTAGCTAGTAATAGAATGTAAATGGAAATGAATAAATCATATGTTGGCTGATCGCCAATTTCCGAATCTACTGAACGTTTCAGCTTCTACAGTATCGGTAAAAAGCGTTCGCCGAGAAAAAACTTTTGTGGATTTTTTTTACTTCAACAATTTGTTTCGAATACTGGTTGCTATGTCTTTCAGTGTTATCGAAATCTTAATTTTTAAGATTCAAAACATATGAAAGAAAAAAAACTCCAGTCGATTCTTAAAGGCATGCCCCAGGATCACATTGGTGTGGCTCTTGCACACGAATGCGAATGTATTGGTGCGAAATGGGCCACAGTGAAGAAAAAAGGAAAAGAATCCGTCGAAAACGCTTAGGTTAAGGGCTCACTCACCTTCCTAATCGGCTGTGCTAAGGGAATGAGAGACTAAGCGCGGAGAGGAGAGTATGAGGCGAGAGAGCGCAACAGATGAGAGGGCGCCAGACAACAGCCTGATAAAAGAAAAAAATTGCAGCTGCTGCAGCTTACTTTGCAAGGCCCTAGCGCTCTTGTCGGTTGATTTCCGTGCACGGGAATGCCACATCTGTATTGTCCTCTAGAAGACCGAGGGAATCGTTCACACGACTTCTGCCTGGATTGTGCCTTTAAGCATTTTCAAAAGAAAAAAGTAATCCCGAAAAACCGTTTCGGTGAACACTTTTAACCGCTACTGTAGATTAATAATTGGTAAGGATAACAGGAAATTTCTTTTGGTAAGCCTTTTTGATCTATAGAAATCAAAAAAATAGTACAACAGCAAAATGGTCAAAAGGTTAGTTATGCATATCGTTCAGATTCACCTTATGATAAGTGTTTCTGCAGGATTTGCTTCGGAACTCCTCTAGTCAGTGCTGGACTCGGTGGTAAGTTGATACAGACTTTCTTCTTCTGGAAGAGGACGTCGTTTCCATCGTGGATTCGCCACCAGAATCAGTACGAATAAGGCGTAGAAGAATACACATATTCCGACCATATTTGACACCAACTGCTGACCGCATAGCTCACGTCCTTTCGTCCAGCATCTTAAAACTTTCTGCACTAATCGTTATTTTTTGC